TCCCCCCACCCTCTCTCTGTTTCACTATGTAGTCCCAGCTGGCCTTGAACTCAAGGCCATTATCCTGCCTCAGCCTCCAGAGTGCTGGGATTACAGGCGTGCACCACCACACCTGGCTAAATTCATTACTTAAACCTGGAAATTTAGGGCCGGGAATTTAGCTCACTGGTTTGGATGCCTGCCTTGCAAGCACAAGGTCCCAAGGTCCCAAGTTGGATCCCCGGTACCAAAAAAAAAACAAAACTGGGAATTTAAGTGGAGTTCACTGCATATGATGGCCAGCCAACCTCTATTTTTTCCTGAGACAGGAGAAAGCAAGCGTGTGTCATATTTAACACTACCTTACTGAAAATAACTTTGCCTGACAGTTCTGCCATTTTTAGCTAAGATTGAAAGTTCAGCCAGGCGTGATAGTGCATGTCTGTAATTCTAGCACCGAGAGGCTGAGGCAGGCAGATCACCACGAGTTCAAGACCAGCCTGGACCACATAGCAGGACCTTGTCTCACCGAGACTTACCCAGATGGTCTTCCCCACACACATGTGCGTTTGCCTCCACTTTACCCCAGGTGTCTCAGGTTCTCAGACACGGTGATTGCAGGGTGGCTCCCCGGGGTGCAAGGCCTGGGGTTTGGCCCGTCTCTCCTAGCCTGACCATCCTGGGCCCCCCCAGAGTGGGGCCTGAATGGAGTGGGGCCTGAATGGAGCAGGCCCTGGGGACCAGACAGAGAAGTTCCTGTTTCCCCAGAGGATGGGGCCTAGCTGCAGGCTGCTGGGAGGAGGCGTCTGTCCCCTCATGGCCCACACCATAGTCCCTGCCTGTGTGGCCTTGGACAGCTTACTTGACCTCTCTGTGCCTCAGTTTCTTATCAGTAAAATGGAGATGATGGTAGTACCTTCCCCACAGGGTTGGGGTTGTTGCAGAGCATAAGTGACACACGGTCCTGCTGGATAAATGTTAGTAGTAAATATTTGACAAATATTATTTTAAAACATGACTTGCAGTGCTGGGGATCGGTGCCCTGGGCATGGCAGTCAAACTGTATCACAGAGCCACACCCTAACCCTAAATGTTATATCTCATTTCTGTTTCAGTTTCTTTTTTGTTTTGTTTCGTTGAGACAGGGTCTCACTGTGTAGTTCAGGCTGGCCTTAAACTCGAGGAAGTCTTCCTGCCTTGGCCTCCTGAGTGCTGGGATGACAGGCATGTGCTGCCACACCTGGCAGGTGAAGGCTTCGGCTCCTCAGGCAGGTTCCTGCCCCTCAGCTGGCCCATGTCTCTCCTCTGTCCAGGGCCAGGATCCTCTTCCTGCTCCAGCTGCTGGCAGACCACATCCCCGGCGGCAGCCTGGTGGCGAGTGAGTGGGCACGGCTGGTGCTTCTGGGGTGTCCCTGAGCGTGTGCGTAGCCTGGCTCCCTGCCTGCCCACTCTTTGTGGGGAGTTTGCTGTCAGGTTGAGTGGATGACAGCTGGGGGGGGGGGGGTGGAAGGGGGGTGTCCCATGGGTGGGGTGCTGAGACCACATGGGCTGTGAGCCTTCCTCCTGCCCAGGCCCCTGGAAGCCCTGTCACCTGGGTGGAGGACAGGAGGCAAGGGCCCTTTCTGTGCTTGGGCACAGAGGCTCTGCCTGTGCCACCGCCCTAGGATGGAGGGGAGGTTCTGCCCTGCTGGGGGTGCAGCTGTGTGGGGCTGAGGAGTCCCTGCTTAGACCCTGAGTCGCCCGCCCTTTGGTTTCAGAGCCGCTCATGGATTACTTGCCTACCTGGCAGAAGATTTACTTCTACAACTGGGGCTGACACATCCTGGAGTGGGCAGCCGGGAGGGGAGGGGTGGGGTGCGGGCGGCTGCTCTGGGCAGGGCCCTCCTCAGCCTGTGGTGCCCCGGGCCCCTGTTCCCTAATAAAACTGACTGGCAGTGTCCAGGCCTGTGGCCTCTCCACGCCCAGCGCCCAGGGTCCCCCGCCACCCAGGCCGTCCACGTAGCTGGCTCCAGGCACCAGGCAAGAAGCCCCAGCAGCTCCAGGTACGAGGAGCCACAGGAAGGTGCGACAGCGTCCATGGCAGCGGCAGGGGACCTGCTTCCCTGGCTGCCCCCGTGGAGACAGACAAGCTGCGCCATGCCGGACATGCCTTCTGGCCAAGCTTCTGCCCGCCCCAGGCCCTGACCGCCCTGAGATGTCAGGCAGTGGCCAGTACCGGGCAGGCACAGGGTCAGGAGTGGGAGCCGAGGCTCCAAGAGAAAGCTGCACTCGCCGTCTGAGCTGGGCTTCTCACGCTCGCCCCACTGGCTCCAGGTGGCCAAGTCGGAGCCAGGCCAACTGCTGTGGAGGGGAGAGGGCCGGGCCTGTGGCCGAAGCCTCCCATCCTTGGCGCCAGCCTGGGGAGGAGCCAGCGCTTCTGCAGGTCCCAGGCCCCGGCGACTTCTCAGGTGCCACAGGGCTCCTTCTGCACCCGGTCCCCCAGGGTCCCCAGGCCCTGCCGCCTCCAAGGTGCCTCCACCCTGGTGTGGCGCCCCGTGTCTCCAGGAAGCCACCTGGGCCTGCACCGAGATTGAACAAGTGGGAAGGGCCACCCATTGTCCCCATCAGCTTGGCCCTGTGACCTTCGGCTTAGTTGAGCAAGCGGTCCCGGGCACGGGCTCTGCAGCAGGCCGTGTGCCAGGGGCTGCACGCTCAGGAAGGCAGAAGGCACAGTGGAGATGCTGCACTGGGGCCCTGGTGACAGTGCCTGGCTCGGGAGGGTGGGAGGAGAGGGCCGTGAGACAGCTGCAACTCCTAGCGGTTTTGTGGTTTTGTTACTGTTTGCTCAGGGACCCAGCCCAGGCTTCGCCTGCGACACTGCCCAGTCACACCCCAGCCCATGTTTGTTTTTTCGAACTGAGCTACATTCCAAGTCCTTCATTTTTTATTTTGAGACAGGGCCTAAGTCCCTAAGTTCCCCCGCTGGAGCTCAGACTTGTGATTCTCCTGCCTCAGCCTCCCAGAGCATTGGGAGTACAGGCCTGCTCCACCACACCCGGCCACGTACATCAGACTTTTGATGGGCAGCCTGGATAGAGGCCGCCTTGCACAGCGGTGGCACTGGGGTGTGGAACAGCGTGAAGGAAGCGCTGCTGTGGAGGGGCAGGGATGGGGGCTGTGGGCAGGAGCAGATGGCTCGAGGCCACAGGAGGCCGGGCCGAATGGTAGGGGCACTGGCCAGGGACCTGGTGCTGCCCTGGGGTTGACAGTGGGGAGGGGCCCCGTGGAGAATGGGGTGGCAGAGGAGAGGACAGAGCTGAGACGCCCAGCCGGAGACCGACCTGGAACCCAGGAGAGGCCAAACAAGGCAGTGTTGTGAGGGGGCCCAGATAGTCTTGGGGACTGCTGTGTGTGGGGGAAGACAGCGGCCCCCAGGAGGCGAGGTGTAGAGGGTCTTCGGAGTTAGGCTGGGTATGGAATTCAGGGTGCTCCCTCCTGCTGATCCCAAAGCTGAGGCAGTTGGAGGGGGGCGATCCTCGGTCTCACGTGGGGGACACGTGGGACCAGGCGCTGGAGTTGGGACTGAGGGGGCCTCCCCTTGGGCCCTGGGGACCCGGTGGTCTCCAGCAACAGTGTTTCCAAAGCTGCAGCCCATGGCCTCAGCCCTGGGTTCTGATGCCACAGATGTGGAGTGGGGCTGGGTTGACAGCCTATCTGGTGCAGAAGCGAGCTGGGTTTGTGTCGTGTTAGTGAGCGGGTCAGAATGTGATGGCACATGCCATAACCCCAGCTACTGAGGCTGAGGCAGAAGGATTGCAAGTTCAAGGCCAGCCTGGGCACCAGTCTCAAAAAGGGTGTAGCTCAGTGGGACCCCACAGTGAAGCTACCTGGCCCTCCTGCTGCTCATGCTCCAGAGAGCAGGCCCAAAGCTTCACCCTTCCTGGAAACCCCCCAGCTGAGGGGTGCTGGAGACCCTGGATCGGGCTGTTGAAGCTGCAGAGAGCAACGTGCTGAAGGCCCTTAGCTCAACTCAAGGAGCCTACAGCTACCTCACCCTGCGGGGAACCCACACTGCCATCCCGCAGCTGCCAGGACCTTCCTGGGCCCGAGGTGCTGCAGGAAGGTGGGAGAGTGTGGGGAAGGCAGGGGCTCTGGCTGGGGGCGGCCAGTCCCTTCTGTTGAGTGGCCTCCTGCATGTGTGCCCTTCCCTCAGGAAAGGGAACAGAGGTCGGATCGAGGCAAGGTTGGGACTTGAACCGAGATGTGCCCTTCGCCCTGGCACTGACTCCAGGACAAGGTTTGCTTTGGCGCCTCCTGGCCCAGTCTAAAACAGCACCTACCTCCACGCCTCCATTAGCCCTGGAATGATGCCCTTTGTGAGGTGGCCCAGGGGAATGATGCCCTTTGTGAGGCAGCAGCAGATTCCAAGGCTCTGTGGAGAGGGCCGAGCGGAACCTGAGCAGGGCCTGTGGAGAAGATGGTGTCTGCCACGTTGGGAGCCCTGAACCCCAGGGCCTGGCTCAGCCTCCTCCTCTTGTACCTCATCCTGGCAGTGAGAGTCCTGCAGCCCCAGCCCCTGAGGTGCCGCCCCTGCCCTCCTGGGACAAGAGTGGCCTTGTGGTTCTAGGGTTCGGGGTGTGCCAAGTCCCCCGTCCTAGGCCAGCCCCACTCAGGGAGGTGGCAGTGGCCTCTGGGGCCAGGCTGAGCACCCCAACCTCCCACAGGCCTGTTCTTGAGGAACTTCCAGCCTTCCTGGAGCTGTCACAGCCACCCTCTGACCTGATGGACGGTAGGTTCCTTCTGTCCGCACCCCTGCCCCCCACAGTGGAAGTGTCCCCACAGGGCCCAGGGCCAGTCCTGCATTTCCATCTCGGGCAGCCTCCCTTTGAGTCCTGTCCCAAACCACCCCCTCTCCCCGATGTAGATTACGGGATCCGACCCAGGCACCCGAGACCCAGGCAACTCCAGGCCCAGCAGCGCAAGCAGGATGGGCCGGACACAGCTGAGTATTACTATGGTGCCCACCAGTGACTGACGAGAACCGTCATAAAACTGTGGTCAGCAGAGGCTCAGGCTTTCCTGGGGAACCGAGGTAGCACGGAGGGGGCCGCATAGACACAGGCACTGTGCTCCAGACAGGAGATGGCACTTTAATAGTCGTGGCCAGGGTGACAGGACCATGGTCAGAGGCTGCCTCTCCCTGCCGGGGCCAGCGTGCCAGGCCTGCGGGTGGGAGCCATGGCAAGAGCAGAGAACAGCAACTTCACCTTTGCCCACTGCCATTTCCTTCCTGGAAAGTCCTTGGGAGGTGGCCAGGCTCGGCCTGAGCTCAGAGCTCTTGGTAGGGGCTGGGCCGGGGACAGTGGGCACTTGCAGGTGGCATGGGCTTTGTCGAGGCAGGAGCCAGGGCTCCGGCAGGGGAAGTAAGGCCCGCGACAGGGCTGGGCCCGTGTCCCCAGGATGGACATCCTTTGAGGCCTTCCGTCCCCGGGCAGCCCGCTGTCCTCCATAGGTGGATCTGATCCATATGTTACACTTTTGTTACCATATCCCATGCCTGTGTCTCCCGCCACCCCTGTCCCCCACCCTGCACCAGCGGACCCCACTTCCATCCTCCAGTGGTGGTAGTATCCCTCCCGAGCAGTGCTGTGACCTGTCCACAGCTTGCTGTCCTGCATGGGCTGGGGGCCGGGGGTGCAGAGGTGGCTGCTACTCCAGGTAGATGTCCTCCGTGGGGCAGGTGTACTCCACAAACTGCTTGTAGAACTGCTGGAATGCGCGCCTGCAAGGCAGGGTGCCAGTAAGCAGGTCCCCAGGGCCCTGGGAATGCTGGACCCTGTCTCCTAAGGATTGCACCCCCCTGAGGGAGGTAGCAGGTAAAGGACAGACCAGCAGCCAACAAGCTTGGATATCCCTCCTCTGATCACCCCACTCGCTGGCCACCACACTGGGTCTGGAGCCCCATGAGTTTCCAGGGGTACGGGGAGGCTGGGGGGTGGCCAGGACCTTGGGCTGGCTCCTTGGGGACACAGGCAGGACGCACGTACCCCACGGATTCTGCCAGGGCTTTGGTGGAGTCTTCAGACACAAAGACGTGGCAGGCAAACCGGTGGTCGGCAGGGTGCTTGGTGATAAACCCAAAGTACCTGTGGGAGGACAGGTGTCTGTGGGGGACAGGGCGGGGAGCCACCCCCACCCCCCCAAGCTCCAGACCTCGCCTGAGGCGCCCCTCTGTCCTCAGCTTACTTGTTGTTCTTTGGATGGTATCCACAGAAAGAGATGTTTTTTAGCTGGAAAAAGTGGCTACATTTATTCCCCTACAGGAGGGAGAAGAGAAGTAAGGGTGGTCACCAGCCACAGGGGACAGGGACGCACACCCTGCCCCGGGCTGGAGGGGGAGAGGCAAGGGCAGCCACCTTGGCCTCCTGGGAGTCGTCAGCCTTGACGCCTATCTTCAGCCCTCTCACACTGATCTCCAGGACACAGCTGGAGGGCGGGTTAAAGTGCACGGTGAGTCGGCGGGTGGTGGCAATCTGCAAGGGATCGGGCATGTCAGGCACTGTCCCTCCTGTCCCAGGCCCAGGCCCTAGGGCTTTTACCACCTCTAGATCCCTGCATCCTTCTCCCCAAGGGCCACAGGACAGGCAGGGCGCAGGACCCGGTACCTTTTGCATAGCGGCACAGAGGACGTCATTGCCCTTGTGATAGGGAACCTGGACCGAGCCCAGGAACTTCACCCGGAACTGATCCACCCAGTCAATGTTTTTGGCCAGGGCTAAAAAATAAGCAAGAGGTGAGGGGCTGGCACAGCTGACAGGAGGAGGCCCAGCCCCCAGCAAAGGACACCGGGTGAGGAGCGCAGGTGACACTGCTCCCACGGGCCACCACCACCCCTAGAGGCCCCAACTTTTCTCCTTGGGAAACAGACTTGAATTCACCTCCATCAGCCCCTCCCTGGCTGGGCCAGATGTGGGGCGCAGGTTCACCTGCCAGCAGGGCAGGGGAGCCAGGGCGGGGGCTGGTGGTGTCAGGAGGGGAAGGACACTACCTGCCACGTGCTCAGGCTCCTTGGTGACCTCGATGGCATAGTAGGCAGGAAAGACCCCACGGGCACCAGTGCGCATGTTGTAGGCCTCGTACCAATAGTCCTCGGCCTGCAGCTCCACCAGGAGGGGGTCGTCCACCTCTAGCTCAAGTTCATCTTCATGTCGAGGCACAAACCTGTCCCCAACAAGGGCACGTGAGGAGTTCCTCACCAGGACCTCTCCAGCCGGACCCCTCTGGAACCGGGGAGCTGCAGTGGCATCATTAGTTCAATACACATTGGGATTTTTTTGTTTGTTTGTTTGCTTTGTTTTGAAAGAGTCTCATTATGTAGTTCACGCTGCCCTTGAACTCACTATGCGACAGGGTGGCCTTGAACTCACGGCCATCCTCCTGCCTCAGCCTCCTGAGTGCTGGGATTACATGTGCGCACCACCAGGCATGCAAAGCGTCAAGTGTGCCCATCACAGTGCTGGCTCTTGGAAGGCCAGTGTCAGACATCTGCCACCCGGCAGTCCACTGGCCAAGGGAGGGAGTGAGCAGAGGCCCTGATAAACTGAGGTCACAGGAAGTGAGCACTAAGCCAGAATCAGAGGAGGGTGTGGGTTTTGGGTGGGGACAGACGTCCTTTGTAGGCAGGGCACTTTGTCACAGTCTTGGTGCCCTCAGGACGGTCCAGCAGTCCCGGCCCCTGCTCTGAGTTTAGAGGGTGCCCACAGCAGGGGCAGCAATGGCAGCGGCAAGGAGGGCGGCCCTACCTGAATATGGCCCGGTGGGTTTGTTCCCGCTCCTCCCCGTTGATGACACAGGAGAACAGCCCGAAAGACTCGGCACCTGCAGTGAGGGGTGAGGCTGCAGGAGGGTGGCCTGGCTCAGCCAAGGCCGAGGCCGGGTGCACGTAACCCCGGCAGCAGGTGGGGCTCCAGGACGCCCCCAACCCGCCGGACCCCACCGCGCCCTGGACGACTCACTGGAGGAGCGCGAGCGGCCACTCATGAAGACGTTCAGGAACTTCCTGGAGAAGTGGACATCGGGCTCGTCGGGCGTAGAGTCCTCTGAGAGGCAGGCGGGGGGCCGGGGCCGGGGCGCCTCCTCGTACTCCTCCCCAATGGCCGACTCATAGGGCGATGAGGCGGACGCGCAGTTGTCGTAGACAGTGGCCGAGTCGCTCTCGTCACTGTAGTCTCCAAAGCACGGCCGCAGGCTCACAAGCTCCAGCTGCGCGTGCTCATCCACCACCAGCGTGTACTTGACCGAGTCGTAGGACAGTGCGCTGGTGTCTGAGCTCAGCGAGGCCCGTGGGGGTGGCGGCTCCCCCAGGCTCCCTCGCCACCCTCCACCTGGTGGCTCGGCCCGCTCCGGGGATGACAGGCAGTCGAAGCCCTCGTCCTCCTCACTGATGGAGGGGTGAGGCCGGCCTGCTGCAGAGGGGTAGGCGGCAGGGTCCGGGTCGGAGCTGACTGACATCCGGCTCTCTGCAGGCGGCAGGAAGGCCGAGGCAGGCTCTGTGGTGTCCGGGGGCCTCTGCACTGGCGTCAGGTAGATCTCCTCTGTGGCCTCCAGCCGCACATCGGCCTGGTAGTGGATTCGGTCCCGATGGGAGTGGCCCAAACCACCAGGGGTGGCAGCAGGGGGGCCACCCAGAGGTGCCATCTGGGTGGCAGCGCTGCGACGACAAGGGCTGTCGGTGGAAGTGCCGCAGTCCTTGGTGGGGGCGGGGCTGCCCTGGGGTGGCAGCTCATCACTCAGGCAGATGTGTTCATGGGGCGGCGTCTGCTCCCCTGGAGGGCAGGCAGGTCAGGGTGAAGCAGGTGTCCCCAACAAGTCTGCCAGTCACCTCCCTGTCGCCCTCAGCATGTTGACCCAGAGGCCAAGCAATGCCTCCCTGGCAACAGGCCCTGGACCGGGACCAGGCAACTCGCTCACAGCACAGCTGCCCTTCAGCCCTAGCTGGGCTGGTGCCAGGAATGGGTGCTGGGTGCAGGTGGGTACCGGAGCTCTGCTGGACAAGTGGGGGCCACAGCCTCAGCTCTGAGTACCAGGGCCCGAGCAGGGCAGGCTGAGGTCCAGCCCGGGGAGGTGAGGGGTCTTGGCTTACCTGTCTTGAGGGGTGAGGATGATCGAGACACCCGATCCTGCCAACTGTGCTTTTTGCCAAGAGAATTATTATTCAGTGTGTCCTGTGCAGGGGACAAAAGGCCCTTGTGAAGATGCGGCCAGCAGTGCCCAGCACAGGGAGGCCCTGCCCTGCCCCCATCGGGCCATCCCTAGGCCTGGGCCTCACCCACCCACTTCCACTCGCCAAGGCCTCACTCCCAACCCTCCGGGAACAGGTGCGAGGGTGGCAGGTGACAGACTCCCTCCTGGCTCGGAGCAGCTGGCCAGCCCTCAGAGGGTGCACTTATGAGCCTCAGAAAGGGTGGCAGTGGCCAGTGTGTGTGGTGAGGGGGTAGCAGGAGTCCTCATCAGCGTTTACATGTAAGATGCTCAAATCCAGCCCAGGGGAGGACAGGGGGACTCCCTCCCCTGAAGCTCAGGAAGCTGTGGCCCAGAAAGGGCCAGTGACACTGGCAGAGGCTGAAAAAAGCCTAAAGAAGTCTCCCTAGCAGCTGGCCCGGGAGAGGGCTTAGCATGAATCCAAGTGATGACCTCATACCACGCCCCACCCCCAGTCACACACGATGGGGAACGACAGGTAGTCTTCGGCAGCCCCCTTCCTATCCCACATCCTCAGTCCCCCGGGACCTCTCCAAGGTCCTCACATACAAGGCTCCCTCAGCTGGGAACACCCTGGCAAGCCCTCACACTTTGGCCGGGCTGCCAAAAGCCACGCCAGGAATCTGGGAGAGGGACCAACCCTTTCCTGCAGCCCGCGCAGTCACCAGCCACCCCACCTCCCTGGAAGCCTCGTACCTCTCCAGACTGGGCCTGGAAGACAAAGGGCCACAGCCGGCCCGGCCCTCGCCATGCTATTCAATGCTGCTTGGCACCCAGCCACCGGCCAGGGGCCCTAGGTCCCCAACTCGGCCAAGCAGCTCCATCCCCCTCCTCACTTCTGCCTTCTGGAATTCCCAGCTGCCCAGCTATCAAGCTGACTGCTGCCCTACCGTCCCACCTCCCCTAGGCTTCCCCTTGCTCCAGCCCTCACCTGGAGCCCTATCGCCAGAAGGAAACCCTGTCCTAGCCAAAGACCCCAAACTCCTTCAGAACCCTCAAAGCCCTGTTCTCTGGACCCCTGACTTCTCTCCTTGCTCATTCCTTCCCTGTTCCTGGCAGCCCCTTCACTCCTCGCACCCCTTCCTGGGGCTCTAGACCCAGCCAGCCTGACTCAACCCCCGGAGACTCCTCTCCAGAGCTGAAGCCAGTGTAGTGCGCTTCATTGCAGCCCCCATCCCGCGCCCGGCTTGGGGCCCCGCCCCGCCCCCGCCGCACCTGAGACCGCGGCACCTGCGGGAAGAGGTTGAGCGTGGTGGGCCGCTTGGGCCGGTACGTGTCGCCGCTGCCTGGGCCCTGGCTCTGGCTGCGGGGGCCGGGCTCCTGGCCAGACTCAGCCTTGGGCGGTCCCGCTCCTGGGCGCCGTGCTGCACGCTCCTCGTCCTCCTCCTCGTCATCCTCGGCGCCGAGAGTGTCCCCCGCTGCGTCGATCAGGTCCATCTGCAGCATCTCGGCCTGCAGCCGGCTCACCACACTGCCGCCGCCCGCAGACAGCAGCCCGGAGCGCGGGGGCTGCGCGGCACGGACGAGCGGCGTCAGGGGGCGGGGCCGCGCCGGTAGGGGCGGGGGCAGAAGCCCCCAAGCACCGCCCACCTCCGGGCGAGTCCATTCCCATCCAGCGTGAGGGGGCGATGAGAGGGAACCGCGCAGGGGCCATGGGGAGAGGACAGCCCTCTCTGCCCGTCCCCAGCGAGGAGGCCGAGACCGCCCCCCTCCCTAGTCGGCGCCTTGGACGGCCCACAGCGCCTGTCCCCACCCACGGGCCCCCCTCCTCACTCCTTGCACTCTCCCGTTCCCTTGGCAACGGCCAGTGACCTCACCCGGGTGGTAAGCCGAGCCCAGAGTGAAATCACCGCTGTTGCCATGGGGACGTAGGGGTCGCCAAGGCGTTCGGGCCCCGCAAGGGATGGGGGTGGGGGTTACGATTAGTGTTTGAAGGAGAGCGTGAGGAAAATAGAGAAAAGTGAGTCTCAGCCAGGAGAGGAAGACCGTGGGAGGGACGCAGTGCAGACGGGAAGGTTGACAACGACCGGAAGAGGGATGCGGGGTGGGGGTGGGGGGCGGCAAGCGAGTGGCACCTGGAACTCAGGACGTGGCATCCTCTCCTTCCCGTCTCCTCTCCTCGGCCCACGGAGACCTTCCCTCAGCTAACCCTGCCTTGGGTCCCAAGCCCAGTGCTGGTTCCAGCTCTACCACGAAGTCCCTGGCACCTTGGACAGATCCTCCTACCCTTCCCTCCCTCCCCGCCGCCGGTTGATTTGGTACATTACTTCTGCTTCCCACCGTCCTAGAGGGGTGAGGACACTGCCCTGGCTGTGTGAATGTCCCCCACAGCTTGCCTAAGGCCCCATGGAGGCACATCCCTAGCTAGCACTACCTCAGGGCCCTCTTGGGGCTTTGCTTGCATATTGGGGGACATGGGGTGCCAGAGTTCAGAACAGGTGTATGACCTCAGAGAAGCCATGCTAGAGCCCTGAAACCAGAATAAGTAGCCTACACCTCCATACCTCCCTGGTGTGGCCAGAGGGTGGAAGATTGGGGTACAGGAATGTTATTGTCAACCCTTGGTTTTCTCTTGCTGGGCAGAGCTTCCAGAAGCTCTGGGTGTACCAAAGGGTCAACACAGAGCCAGCACCCCCTCCCCAACTCCCACTGCAGCTCTCCCAACACCATACCTGGCTATCCACCCTCCCACTAAACCCTAGCCCCTGGATTTACCTTCCCTCTCCTGGCTTCCCTGCCTCCTGTTCTGAAAAGATGCAGTGGGGATCCCCATCTGACCTAGACTCCCCAGCTGCTGAGGACCTCCTGGCAGCATTCAGATCTTCCGGAACTGGAGGGAGCAAAGCTAAGGGGCCCAAGGCAGCAGCAGAACCAGCCAACCTCTCACTGGGGTCAGAGAGGGCTGGGGAGGCTTCGTGGGGCTGGTGGCTTGGCACAGTGGTGCTGGCCCTTGTGGGAGTTACTTGGCTCTTTCTGCCTGCCCCAAAGCACTGCAGATTCCACCACACCCCACCCTGTGCAGCCTTCGGCCCTGGGCCAAGGCTGCTCTGTCCTTATCTCTGGGCCTCCCTGCCACTGTCCTAGACCTCAAGACCTCCTGCCCTCTCTGCTTGTGGGTTACTTAAGGAGCTGCTTTCTGCCTTAGCCCTGGCAAAGAAATAAATACAATTTTAAAAAATAAACTCTGGCCACAAAAAAAATAAAAATAAATTCTGATTGAGCACCCAAGAGATGCCAAGCATCACACTGGATGTTTCCCACCTGTCACTTCACCCCCTGAAGGTGCCATGCTGATCTGAAAGCTAATTTAATGACAGGGGGGCACCCTCACTCCTGCCTCTAACCATCCTGCCACCCCATGCAGGGACTCCCAGAAGCCAGCGCTTACCCGCAGGGACAGGGTATCTTTGCACTGCAGGCTGATGCCACACTCATCAGTGATCTCTGAGAGGTCTTCATCCTCAAACTCTTCCAAGCTGATGTCATGGGTGAGCCTGGTGGGGACAGAAAGCCAGAGCCTTACCCCTGGGGCACTGCTAAGCCCACTGGCGCTGCCCTGTCACTTCTCCCAAGGGGCAGCCTCCAGAAGACAGGGTTCTGTCCCTCTGCACCAATGACAGGGAAAGAATTCGGCTTGTGCCCAGAGGCAGTCCTCCCAGAGTGAAGCCCCAGGTCCTCCAGCTTCTCCCGGGGTGGAGTTGTCCCATCCTGCTGCCAACCTGGAGGCAGTGCCTGGAAGGCCCGACCGCTCAGATCCTTTGCTCTGCCAGAGAAATTCGGCCCAGGCTCCAGGCGGGTGCTGAGGCCAGTTTGCCCATGGAGGATGCAAAGTTGAGACTCCAAGGCATGCCTGGACTTGGGGGGCCCAGTGCAGTTCACAGTGACAAGACCCAAAGTGCTGCCAGAGGACTCAGCAGCCTTGGAGGGCTGCCCCATCCCCCCCATCCCACCTGCAAGCCCTGGGCCCGAGTGAGAGGACATCTACTGCCAATGTGGGAATTTCCAGCCCATTCCAGGAGAACGGTGTCTCCTTTCATGTTCTTGGTTTCATCCCTTCAACCCCAATGTCTTCTTGTCCAGGGATAGGACCAGGAGCAGGAGGCTGCACAGATGGGGTCAGGAAGGCCCACCTTGGAGTGCAGGCCCGGGCTGGCCACTGCTGTCCCTGCACCGCTCCCCCTAACCCTGACCCTCACGTTGAGGAAGTTGGGGAGAACATCCGAGCCTTTTCCCAAAGACAACCAGGGAATGGAGACAGAGCAAAGGAAGCCCATCCTCCAAGGTCACCCAGGAGAGGCAGAGCCCTGGGCCCAGGAGGGCCACACCCCTGCCTCTCACCTCAGTCACACCAAAGAGGGACCTGGGTTCACAGAACCCCAACTCCTCCCGCAGCCCCAGCCAGCCCCCAGCCCCTACCAGTGCTCCCACCGGTCCTCCAACCAGCTGTCATTGTCTGGGCTCGAATCCATCTTCAGCGCCAGCTGCATGGAGAGCCCGGCCTGGCCTGGGGGCTGTGGGGCCCCAGGGCTGGCCTCTCATGCCCAGTGGGGTGGGGGGGCCAGGGCTCAAGCAAGGCAGGGCTGTGGCCTCCGGCCTCCACAGCCTGGGCCTGCCTGTCTGTGTCCTGCCTGCTGCAGATGCCTGGGGAGCTCATTAAAAATGGATGGGCTGGAGAGGAGGCAGCAGCTGCCCACCGCCCGGGTCCCAGTGCTGCCGTCCAGCCCTCAGCTGCAGGGTGCTTCCTCCTGCCGCTGCTACATGGCCGCCGCTGATGTCGCCACCTCCCCCTGGGGATCAGGTTACTGCAATCAATGCCACTGGCTCCACCTGCCCTTCCAATGCCCCCATTGCGGGCTGCTGTGACCCCCCTCCCTGGCCCAGGCTTGCAAGCAGATGGCAGAAATCTGGGCTGTTTCCCCCCAAAGCCAGCCCCCCTCCATCAGCTTTAAAGGGCCAGTGCCACACTCAGGGTGGCAGGTAGAAGATGGAAGGTGGGCTTGCAAAATTCCCCGAGAATGGATATGCCACCACACAGCCACCTCGCTCAGCCCTTCGGCATCGGGGAGACTTCTGTGGGCCTAGGGCAAGCGGAGATGGTGCCGACTGCCTGGGTTGGGTCCGAGCAGCCTCCCCCCTGGCAGGGCTCCGTCCATCCTGCAGGACCCGGGAAGGAAGGGCCAATGGGTGCAGGAGGTGCCAGGGCAAGGCCAAGCCAGTGCCTGGATTCCTTGGAGCAGGGCAGGGAATGCGCTGGGTGGTAATGAGCTTCCTGTCTCCTGGAGTGCTTTTCACAGAGATTCCCAGCATGGAAAGGGGCTCTTTAGGCCTCTGACCGCCTGCAGCCTAAGCAAAGGCCAGGGTCCCCCAAAGGTGGCAGGAGGGTGTAGTCACCAAGGTGTGGGGGAACAGCCCTCAGGGTGGCCAGGACAGGTGCCATCTTGGCTCTGGGACAAGAACTCAGGGCCGGCGCTAAGTAAGCGTGGCCTAGCAGGTCACTGGGATACCAGTGGCACCCGAAGAGCCCCTGGGATGCAGCCAGCATCAAGGAGCTGCAGGACCCCTGAGCATCTGACCTAGAGGGGTCCTCAGAAGCCCTCTGCTCTGGCCGGGACCCCAGCACATGTCCTATATCCTCACACAGAGCCCTGCAACAGCTCCTGCCTCCAACCTCCCAGACTTAGCCCCTCGGCTGCCTGCCTCAGTCCCCCATGCTGCACCCTCCCACCCCACCCTACTGTTAGGCAAATAGTCACAAACACCGTCATCCCTTCCGCCCCCACTCAAAGCCCTCCAAGGTTCTCGGCTAAGGGCAGGCAGATTCCTGAGCTTGCCATTCAAGGCCCCAGCTCCATATATATTTACTTATTTACTGGTCTGTGTCCTCCAGGGTGGATGCTATGTCTCCCCAGGACCTAACCCAGGGTGTGGAGGCCGCATAAGGTAGGCTTTCAAACAGTGCACACCATGTGCCGTGAAGCCCATTCCTCCAGGAAGCCCTCCTGGCCTTCCCATTTGCCTGGTGACAGATGCCACCTGCCTGGCTATAAAGCAGCATGGTGCAGCCAGCGGGACCAGGCCTTCTCCCACTCCGGATGCGCTGGGGCAGAGCTGGGGAGGGCACCCTGCAGGCACCAGGTGCTCATCATATGCCCACCTGATGTAGGTGAAAGGACATTCTCAGCATCCACCCTCTTCTCAGCCTGAAGGGTGGAGCAGGGCCCACTGGGGCTGTCCTGAACGTGGACGGAAGTGTCTCGGCCATCCCACTGCCTGGGACCACAGGACTGGGTGGGGCAGGGCGGCTGAGTCACCTTCAGGGAGGAACAAGGGGATGGGGCCAAGAGGGCAGGATGGTCGGACAGTCTGCCCTTGACCCCTGGGTCCCCTGCCTCTAACCCAGGACTGGTCCCAAGGGACACTCCAGCTTGGGGCCACACCACACATGGGCTTAAACTCCTAGGTGTCACTACTCTTCCTGTTCGGGGTGCTTCTCCTAAGCAGAGGCCGACTGCAGAATTTATCAGGCTTGGACATGGAGCCTGAGAGCAAAGCCTGAGTTGTTTACAAGCCACTGCCCTGCCCTGGACACCAACCTCGACACCACAGGACTTTACCCTTTATCCTCACCAGACCTGGGAGAGGGTTCTGTTCCACAGATGAGGAGCAGGAGGGCGGGGATACGAGCTGCCTTAGGCCTCAGTTTCCCATTTTAAATGAGGCTGCTGTCTCCTGCCCTGCCCCCTCAGGAAGCTGGGGAGTTCACCTCAAGGATCTCAGGGGAACGACTGGTCAAGGAGGCCCCTTTCGAGTCACCCCTCGCCTGAGACCCCGCCCCTTCCTTCCTCCTCCTGCTCTCTGGCCCTGGCTGGGAGGTGCAGGGTGCAGGGAGGCCCCGGGCTCCTCCAGGCCCATGGAGGCCCAGGGTGGGGAAGGAAGGAGGAGGAAGGAAAAGATGGAGGGGGAGAGGGAAGGAGGGAGCAGGAGGTTCCCTCCTGACCTTGCCTAGTCCGCCTCCTTCCTGGAAACCTGAGCCACGCACAACCTCCCAGGGCCGCTGCCTCTCCTGGGGCCTGGAGACCTGGCAGCCTCCCTTCAGAGCAGCCACTGATGGATCCATCGGCCCTGCTGTCCGTTCCAGCTACACGACCGTCCCTATGAACATTTGGTGACTCTGCTGAGTGTGGTCTCTGGAGTCCTCCCTGGCCTTTCCGATCTATCTGCACCTCCCAGGCACTAACCTCACCCCTCCTATGTGGGGGCTCCACCACGGCCCCACTCCTTGCATCTCTCGAGCTGGGCTCTCCTCAAAAGAGGGGCTGAGCAGCAGCTGTATGAGCCAGGGCCAGCAGAGGGACCTTGTTCCCTGCCATAGAGTCCTGCGCACCTCTCTTGTGACAGAGGGCTCCTGTGGTCCAGAGGCCCCATCCGTCCCTGTGACACCTGTGGCTGGCCCTCTGCTCCCCTATAGGTGGCTCTCCACCAGGCCACCAGACCCGAACCAACTTCTGATGTGACTCCAGTCTGGTCCCTCCTCCCCAGCTCCGCCCCAGAATAGCTGCCCCAGGACCTCAGGGAAAGGGCCAGAAGTCCTCCCTGTGGTCTGAAGGCTCTTAGGGCCTTGGGCCCCTCCTCCTGTATTGATTCTCTCACTCCCCATCCTGCTCTCCAGGCTCCTGCCCTGCCGGCCACAATGTCTCCTCCGACCTCTGGGACAGGCTGGTCCGCCCCACTCTGGGCTCTCCAGCCCTCTTGGCAGATGTGGGGTGACTAATCTATCAAGTGCGTCATGTGACCAATGCTGGTGTCCCTCAGGGGCAGTGAGGCCATCAGGACAGGGTCAAGCCCTTCTCCAGCAGCACTCGGGGCGCCCATAGGTCGTCATAAGTGCTTGCATGAATGGGCACGAGTGTGCCTGGTCTTTCCAGCCCTTTGCCTTGGAAATCTCGAAGTCAGTCCCCACCTGGGCTCAGCTCCAAGCCTGGGGCCAGGTGTGTGGGCCCCTAGGAAGGTGGCACTGCAAGAAAGGTGGGGTGGGGTGAGCCAGGCTCTTTCATCCCCACCCGCTCTGCAGGGACCCTGGGCCAGGCTGGGTTTGTTCCTAGGTGTGGAATTTCCTTCCCAGCCAAGGCCACACTGGCGTCATCTCCAGGGAAAACTGAATGGGACCCAGGAATCTCTGCCACCTGCCCCTCTGTAAATTTCCTGAGGACAGCTGCTGGTAACGGCACTCACAGATTTTTAATTTTATTTATTTATTTATTTGGTGGTACCATGGATTGAACCCAGGGCCTTCCCACTGAGCTACATCCACAGCCCTTATATTTTGTTTTGAGACAGAGTCTCATTAAGTCCCTGAGTTGCCCAGGCTGGGCTCAAACTTTCAATCCCCCTGCCTCAGCCTCCTAGAGTGCTGGGATTAGAGGTGTGCACCGCCACACCTGGCTTCCTACAGATTTTTTAATGGAGCAGGGCCAGGGCACAAAGATGGCATCCCAGAATGGGTGAGACCCCCAAGGAGGGGTGGCAATGGTGACCTAATCTGTGGGAAGCTTTGGGCCCCCAGCTAGAGGTTGCAGCCCGTTCCCAGGAATCCAGAGACCAACGTGAGGGCCCTGTGGTCAAGTTGGACTGCTGCCCGGCTACTTCTGGCTGTGGCAGGCGATCAGCCCCACTGCCCACCTGGGGCTCATCAGGGCCAGGCCAGGGCCACAGTGCCCATTCTGCCTCCCCACCACCACTCAAGCATGGCTGGCTGAACATCAGAAGCTGGTGTCCCTCAGCCAGGCCATCTCCACTCCCTCTGTCCAGGCTCCCTGGGCAGTGAGGTCCCTCAAGTGACAGGAGCCATCTCTCACTACATGGACACTCTCAGCCCAATCCTCCCCCTGGAGCTCCAGACCCCAACCACCCACCTGCTTGATTCCTCCAACGGGGTCCCCAGTGGCCGCCACCCTGACATTCAGCAGGTGACCCTCCTGCCTGCCATCCTTCTTGTCTCCCACTGGACACCCTGGCCCCGGGGCCCAGCCATCCTGGAGTGCTCTCCTCTGCCCCTCAGGCCAGATCCCTCCCCAGGGGCTACTCTGTCCCTCAGATCACCCACCCTCACTTCCTGTCCAGCAGTCCATCCGTCTGTCCTTTCCACCTGCAGCCTGGCCAGTAATCTTCCTAGAGTACCCATCTGGGCTGTCACTCTCTGCTTGACCCTTTGCTGGCCCCAAATGCTTGTCAGTGAAGAGGCCACCGTGTCCTAGCTTGGCCTACAAGTCCCTGCGCGACTTCCTCTCCACCCCCGCCACACAGGGCGTCACCCTGCCCGCCCTCCTGTTCTGCCGCCTGGTCCTGCTTCTGCTGCGCCCTCCTCTACCTCCTGGCGATTCCTGCTCACCCACCTTTGTCTGGTGGCCTTGGACCTGCACGACTGTCACACTCAGCCTGTCTGGTGAGGCGCTGTCCACCTGTGCCCTCTCTACACTGTCCCAGTGTAACGGACAACCTGGCCGCTGCGTATCTTCCTGGTGGCCCCAGTGGAGCCAACCCAGGAGCCCTGGTGAGGGACAGAAACTGCCCGGGGCTTGGCCTGGGCTCTGGCCACCCTGCTACAACCTGTCGTGTGTTCCCCTCCGGTTTCCATTAAGAGGTCGGTTGGATGAACAGACTACTTTCTTTTTTTCTTTTTATTATTTTGTTTGTTTCTGTTTTGCAGTGCCAGGATCCTGGAACCCAGTCCTCACACTTGGGAAGAACTGCTCCACCACTGAGGTGCACCCCAGCCCTGCTGCGCTGAGGCCTAAGGTCTCCCTCAACCAGGACCCTCCTTTCACACCCCCAGGGCAGGGTGCTCACTTTAC